CAGGCCGACTCGCTCACCGTCTACTTGGTCATCGCCTTGGCCTCGGTGTCGTCGCTCTTCCTGTTCTCGGTGGTGCTGTTCGTGGCGGTGAGGCTGTGCAGGAGGAACCAGGCGGCGTCTACAGGTCTCTACTCAGTGCCTGAGGGCCATTTTCTAGGCCACCTGGTGGATGTCAGTGGCACTGGGACCCTGTCCCAGAGTTACCAGTATGAGGTGTGTTTGACCGGAGGCTCAGCGACCAGCGAGTTCAAGTTTCTGAAGCCAATTATCCCCAACTTAGCTGGTCCAGGAACTGGAAGGGAAAGGGAAGAAAATTCCACCTTTCGAAATAGCTTTCCATTCAGCTAAGTATTGAATTATTCTACTAAACCCCTTTTATTAAGTTTGGAAATATCTTTTAACATAAAGTTACGTGTTATTGATGCATGTTATTGATGATGTTTTTTGCTTAATTTACCCTCTATTTTTTAGGTCGAGTTGTTCTAAAAAAAAAAAAAAAGCAATATTGGCAATGCATATTATTTCCTCTATTTGTGCTTAGTAGTTTTGTTTTTACTTCACTGGACTGTATTTGATAGTCTTAGTAAAAAGTAAAATTTTATTTGCATAATTTTCAAAAATTGAAAATAGATCACCTCTTCTTTTGACAAAAACATATTTCAAAGCACTTAAGTAAATTGTATTTGCAGCTATTGGTGATAGTTGTTTCACTATCATTATGTCGGACTACATAAAAATATGAGTATTTATTATTTCATATTGTAAGTCTGATTTGGGGCTAACTCCTATAGTATGTAACCCTAATGATAAACACCAGGAATGGCTCTATGCTAAGGTAGTGTTTCATACTGCTATGTATTTCAATGTACTATAATAGTCAATACATATTTTCTACAAATATGGGCTGTGAAGTCAGAACATATTAGTTACAGTCTGTGATCCTCATGTAAGAACATGATGGTCTGTTTTTAAAAACATCAAGCCAGTTATAAATGCTCAATAAACACATTTGATGAATGTTACCAACATTCCAGTAGTCAATTTTTTAAAATATATTTTCTATAAGTAAAGAAATGGTAATATCCTCTCTGCAATAATATACCCTGTGGTGAAATTACTATCATTGCTTACTTATATTACTCTTTTGCTTTCTTTCAAAACAGAAAACACTCTTTCACTCATCCTACTTTCCATAATAAAACATAAAATGCTTGAGAGAACATTTTATCTCACCTTTGTTTAACAACTTGAAAGCTTAAAGGTTTGTTTTGTATTTTTAATACAAATTTTCACTTCTAGTCCTGTGTAAGCATCATTTGCCTTTATTAACCATAAAACCATTTGCTTTCACAATTTAGCCAACATTTGCTCTTATTTGTGTTATTTTATGAAAGATCCCTCTTTTCAACTTACTGTCAAAGGCAGGCAATCTATATTAAAGTAATAATTAACTGGAAAAAAATTTGTTTTGAGACAGAGTCTCACTATGTCACCCTCAGTAGAGTGCTGTGATGTCATAGCTCACAGCAACCTCAAACTCTTGAGCTTAAGTGATTCTCTTGCTTCAGCCTCCCAAGTAGCTGGGACTACAGGTTCCCACCATAACTTCTAGCTATAATTTGGTTGCGGTTGTCATTGTTGTTTGGCAGGGCGGGGCTGGATCCAGGCCCCCCAGCTCTGGCATATGTGGCTGGTGCCCTAGCCGCTTTGAGCTACAGTCACTGAGCCAAACTGAATATTTTATTTTTATCCTTAATTAAAGTCGAACTGAGCTTAATTAAATTATATTCAACTGTGTTTTGTGTCTAGATAAATGAACTGTCATGATGATTACCAACTAGTTCAATGAGTGTAGGGAACATTTCCTGATTTGTATTCTCAGATATTTTCCCTCCCCTCCTTGAAACAGCATCATTTTTCTTTAGAAAGATTTGCTTTTATTACTATTCTCACTCCAGTAATGTGACTTTAATTGGAGCAGTGGTGTTTTTCAAAATCTCCCATTTCCATAGTCCCAGAGGATGTAGACTGGTATGGGTTCCTGGTCAAAGCAAACAGGTCAAAACTTTTCCCCAGAAAGTATATATTTTTTACTTCAGTGAATTTGTTGTCTTCATCATGTTTGTAGAAAGACATTGCCTAAATTCTGATCTTATATTGACTTTGAACAAAACAAATGACCATTTCTTCTCAACTTCACTGGGCTTTGCATGCACTGAACTTATAAAAGAAAAATATTCCCCAAAGCTACAGAGACCAGAGAGTGAAAAGAAATAAAATTTTTGTTTTCTTTCAGGAGTTACAGGGGCATTGCAATTTAGGAATAGAAACTTGATTTTTAAAAATTTGTGATTTGTTTTCATAAAATAGAATAAATTAGTGTTTTGTGATAGAATATAAATCCCACAGGAGAAAGAATTTTGTGACTTATTTACTGTCTTATCTCAAGAAATTAGATGAATGCCCACACATGTAAATATTTGTTCAATGAATTTGCCTGGAGCAGAGCAGTTTTGTGTACTGAACTAAAATCTTTTAAAGAACATTGTTATAGACATAGATATTAATTTTTCTGTCACAACTGTTGTTAACTACCCAAACAAGACTGCATGATCATTGAGAGTGGGGAGTATATAACAGGCTAGGACCAAAAAATCACGCCTTATGTTTTAGCTATTATCTAAATTACCATTTAGCTTTAAAATAAAAATTATGTGAAGTTATAAAGTAGAACGCTTGGTGGCGCTGCAGGCTAACAGAGTGAAAGACTTCTTAAAAGCTTTGCAGCTTCTGGCAGCTTGAAAGGGAAATTATTTTTCTCTACTGGGGAAAAAAGGTTTGAGAGAGGTGGGCGACCTATGTCAGACAATGTTAAAAAGAAGTAACTCAAGATATTCAAACGAAGATAGCTCAGTAGGTTGTTAAGTAATTATTTTGTGATTAAATACTGCCTCTTTTGGACCCTGAGGAACGATGGAGACGCTGCAGCCCAAAGCGCCAGAGAAAAGGCAAGTGACCGCCATTATTTTGCTATTACTGTTGTGGGAGGCGGGAAGTGCTGCTATTAAGTATTCCCTCTTAGAAGAGAGAGAGAGTGGCTTTTTTGTGGCCAACCTAGCAAAAGATCTGGGGATGAGTGTAGGGGAGATGGCTGCGCGGGGGGCCCGAATTCTTTCGAAAGGGAACAAACAGTATTTGCAACTCGAACAGAAGAGTGGGAATTTGCTGCTTAAAGAAAGATTGGACAGAGAAGAATTGTGCGGTGACATGGATCCATGTATACTGCACTTCCAGGTATTACTGAAAAATCCAGTTCAGCTTATTCAAGGTGAACTACAGCTCCAAGATGTAAATGACCATGCCCCAGAATTCTTGGAAAATGAAATACTCCTAAAAATCTCTGAAAGCAGCCATCCAGGAACTCTATATCCTTTGAATATAGCTCAAGATTTGGATGTAGGTATCAACACAGTTCAGAACTATATAATTAGCACTAATGCCCATTTCCACCTTTTCACCCGCAATCTGAGCGATGGCAGGAAATACCCAGAGCTGGTACTGGACAAAGCCCTGGACCGAGAGGAACAGCCTCAGCTTAGATTAACCCTCACTGCGATGGATGGTGGGTCACCGCCCAGAACTGGGACTTCCCAGGTTCTCATTGTGATTCTGGACATCAATGACAATGCCCCTGAATTTGTTCAGAGGTTGTATGAGGCTCAGGTCCCAGAGAATAGCCCTATAGGTTCCCTTGTCATCAAGGTCTCTGCCAGAGATTTAGATGCTGGGATCAACGGAGAGCTCTCCTATTCGTTTTTCCAATCCTCAAACCGAGTCATTCAGGCTTTTGAAATAAACACAGTCACGGGAGAAATTAGATTAAAGAAGGTGTTGGATTTTGAGGAAATTCAATCTTACCGTATGGAAGTTGAGGCTTCAGATGGTGGGGGTCTTTCAGGAAAATGCGCGGTGGTCATAGAAGTGATGGATATAAACGACAATGCCCCTGAACTGACCATGTCTTTACTCATCAGTGATATCCCAGAAAACTCCCCAGAAACTGTGGTTGCTATTTTCAGAATTTCAGATCCAGACTCTGGGGACAATGGAAAAATGATGTGTTCCATCGAAGACCATCTCCCCTTCCTTCTAAAACCTACTGTAGAAAATTTCTTTACCTTGGTAACAGAAGGATTGTTGAACAGGGAGACCAGAGCCCAGTACAACATCACCATCACAGTCACTGACATGGGGACACCTAGACTGAAAACAGAGCACAGCATAACAGTGCTGATCTCCGATGTCAATGACAACGCCCCCACCTTCACCCAAACCTCCTACACCCTGTTTGTCCGTGAGAACAACAGCCCCGCCCTGCACATAGGCACCATCAGCGCCACAGACAGGGAC